CATCCGCTGAAAAGTGTTCACTACAGACACGGAGAGAATCCACGTTAGCTGTCCTTAGATCTTTTCGTAGAGCTATTAGCCACAGTTTTAGCCTTTCAGGGTCCCGAAGAGGTAATTTGTGGAAAGTTACGGAATGGGTTATTCCACACTGCCGCTTCATCTGATTGAAGCATCCAGGATAGGAACACACTCGAACCATCTTCTTAATTTCACGACTAAAATCACTAATCAACAACTTTTTCAAACTCTGAGAGAGACTGACCTCGTGCTCACCTGGCTCAGGGCAGAAAATAAACAGGTGAAAAGCGGAACTTCTTCTTCTTCTTCTTCTTATGGGGTTTTATGGCGGTTGGCAGACTTGTGAATTGTGCATTACCGCCACCAACTGATATGGAGTAAAGCAAGAAAACAGAAAACGATTCACCCCCCCCCCCCCCCCCAAAAAAAAAAAAAAAAAAAAAAAAAAAAAAAAAAAAAAAAAAAAAAAACCTGTGTAACTTAAACCAACATAATACTAAATCACATTTGCCCATATAATTTTTAATTTACTCTAGGTCATCTTAACTCTGCCAGTTTCTGATGGTCCCATCGGTCCTCCCATCATACTTCCAACCATCTCCCAGTTCAAATCTTTAATGTCCAGATATTTTTCTGCAGCCTTCACTATTATTTTGATTTTTTCCGTTTTTTTTGTTGTCTGTGCAGTACAATTAATTACTTCTACCATGAAAAGAACAAAATTTGTCTTTTTAACAATAAGTGAGTCTTCATCAATTTTTTGATTCTCTAGAGGTTTGGAATTTGCCGTGTGTTGAACTGTAGGTTTGGGTTTTTCTGACTGAGATGGGATCCTTTTTGCAGCTTCAGCGTAGGTTATTCCGAGCTCAAATTTCATTTTTTTAATTTCCTCAGACCTTTTGCTTGCTTCACAGCCGCGATAGGCAGCAGTATGTTCTCCACCACAATTACAGCATTTTATTTTAGCTTCTTTTCCACATTTTCCGTACTCATGTTCTCCTGCACACCTTCCACACCTCTGTTTCCCTTTACAAACTGCTGCAATGTGACCGAATTTTTGGCATTTGAAACATCTCAATGGTGGAGGATTGTAGATTTTGACATTATAGCTTATGTAACCGATGAATACTTTGCTTGGTAATTGCTCTTCCTCAAATTTAATTAGCACTGATAAACTGTCAGATCTTTCTCCGTTTCTTGTTGTTTTTAACCGTTTTACTTCTTTTACTTTTGCACCGCTTATGTTTTCCAGAATCTCTTTTTCAGAAATTTTTAGAGGAACTCCTCCAATGACTCCCCTGCTGATCTTTTTGTTCTCCATTAGGCTGCACTGAACTCTTATCCCGTCAATTTTGTTGATCCGTATTGCTTTGCCTTGCTGGGCGCTGTCTCTGCAGTTAATTAGCAGGTCTCCACTGTACAGAATTCTGGCACCTCTGACTTCTCCGACAAGTTTATTGATGGTTTTTGTTAAGTGAACCGGATTCCAATTTGTAAAAGAGTCTGCCTGATTAACGACTTTGAATATGACTTTGAATTCATTTTGTTGTGCTGTGGAATGTATGGAATGATCATCACTGGATTGTTCTGAACTAGATTCCCCTTGAACTGATCTCTGTTTTTTCCGCTTTTTCTCATTTTTTGATGTTGCTATCTTCCAACCTTCATTGTCACTATTTCCCTCTTCCATCCCACAAGAATCGCTTCCTGTTTCCTCACTACTCACGGCCCAAGACATTTCTCCATAAGCAGCTTCAAAACACGCGCCATGCACCAAACGACCATCCACATGCCAAAGGGGTGTGACCGGAACTTCTTCTTCTTCTTCTTATGGGATTTTATGGCGGTTGGCAGACTTGTGAATTGTGCATTACCGCCACCAACTGATATGGAGTAAAGCAAGAAAACAGGAAACGATTCACCCCCCCAAAAAAAAAAAAAAAAAAAAAAAAAAAAAAAAAAAAAAAAAAAAAAAAAAAAAAAAAAAAAAACCTGTGTAACTTAAACCAACATAATACTAAATCACATTTGCCCATATAATTTTAATTTACTCTAGGTCATCTTAACTCTGCCAGTTTCTGATGGTCCCATCGGTCCTCCCATCATACTTCCAACCATCTCCCAGTTCAAATCTTTAATGTCCAGATATTTTTCTGCAGCCTTCACTATTATTTTGATTTTTTCCGTTTTTTTTGTTGTCTGTGCAGTACAATTAATAACTTCTACCATGAAAAGAACAAAATTTGTCTTTTTAACAATAAGTGAGTCTTCATCAATTTTTAGAGATTTCTCTAGAGGTTTGGAATTTGCTGTGTGTTGAACTGTAGGTTTGGGTTTTTCTGACTGAGATGGGATCCTTTTTGCAGCTTCAGCGTAGGTTATTCCGAGCTCAAATTTCATTTTTTTAATTTCCTCAGACCTTTTGCTTGCTTCACAGCCGCGATAGGCAGCAGTATGTTCTCCACCACAATTACAGCATTTTATTTTAGCTTCTTTTCCACATTTTCCGTACTCATGTTCTCCTGCACACCTTCCACACCTCTGTTTCCCTTTACAAACTGCTGCAATGTGACCGAATTTTTGGCATTTGAAACATCTCAATGGTGGAGGATTGTAGATTTTGACATTATAGCTTATGTAACCGATGAATACTTTGCTTGGTAATTGCTCTTCTTCGAATTTAATTAGCACAGATAAACTGTCAGATCTTTCTCCGTTTCTTGTTGTTTTTAACCGTTTTACTTCTTTTACTTTTGCACCTCTTATGTTTTCCAGAATCTCTTTTTCAGAAATTTTTAGAGGAACTCCTCCAATGACTCCCCTGCTGAACTTTTTGTTCTCCATTAAGCTGCACTGAACTCTTATCCCGTCAATTTTGTTGATCCGTATTGCTTTGCCTTGCTGGGCGCTGTCTCTGCAGATAATTAGCAGGTCTCCACTGTACAGAATTCTGGCACCTCTGACTTCTCCGACAAGTTTATTGATGGTTTTTGTTAAGTGAACCGGATTCCAATTTGTAAAAGAGTCTGCCTGATTAACGACTTTGAATATGACTTTGAATTCATTTTGTTGTGCTGTGGAATGTATGGAATGATCATCACTGGATTGTTCTGAACTAGATTCCCCTTGAACTGATCTCTGTTTTTTCCGCTTTTTCTCATTTTTTGATGTTGCTATCTTCCAACCTTCATTGTCACTATTTCCCTCTTCCATCCCACAAGAATCGCTTCCTGTTTCCTCACTACTCACGGCCCAAGACATTTCTCCATAAGCAGCTTCAAAACACGCGCCATGCACCAAACGACCATCCACATGCAATCTTTCCGGCCTTCCACCGGTTTTTCTCCTCCAGCCGCTCCTGTCAGGACGCCCCTCTGATGCGGCTGTCAATGTCCAAAAAGCGGAACTTCTTCTTCTACGCTTGCATTATCGTCAGAGCAGACGCTGAATGCGCACTTTCTTCCGGTTTGGTCTGCCGCGGTTTCCGTAGAATCGTGAGCGCGCATGGGGGCGCTATTAGGAAATCCTATACACTACTGTTTAGGCTCTAAAACGTTCTAAATGACTTAGTTTCGAGTAAATTCTGGACGCTACCCACTCAGGACACTTGGATTACATTGGACGAGCATTATGGAGGAATATTGACACGTTTTTGTGGACTTTTATGGACCTCTCTGTCTCGGGCGCCATAGACCTCCATTATTTGAATGTCAGCAGACAGCAAGAAGCCTCCCAGATCTCCAGATGCATTTGAGATATCAAAAAAGTACTCCAGAGTGTTGTTCAGCATGGGGGTGAGTAGAAAATGAAGGCTAATCATGTTTTGGGTGTACTATTCCTTTAATGAAAATTCAGTAAATAAATAAATATTCATCAGAAGTCTTTGTTTTAATAAATCTGAGGTAAAACAGATCAAAGCATTAAAATAAGATTGAGGATTAAATCATAACCTGCTGCTGATGTTTCTGCTGTGGTGAAAAGTAACTAAGTACATTTACTTAAGTACTTTTTAAGTATCTTTACTTGAGTAATTTTTTGAGGGCATATTTATAACTTTAACTCCACTACATTTGGAGGAAGCTGCTAGTTACTCAGCTCAGCTTTTTAATCCTCTGTTGCTGTTTTTCTTTATTGACATGTAATTCCATCATGGCGGATAGCAGCCTTTAGAACCGAATCTGGACGCCACTGATTTACAGATTTAATGACGTTCCATAAATATGAGAAACTCAGAGCAGATTTTATTAGTAGTTTATCATTTTATTAAGGCGTTAGTTGTTGCCATGAGGCCAAGTTGTTCAGTAGGATGAGTCTCAAAGCAGAGTTAAAGTTTCTAATAGATTCAACCTTAAACCTTTATTCTCTAGTGAAAGAAAGAGGAGAATCAATACTCTACTGTTTTTTATTTGGTTTGTTTTCAAATAAGAAATAATAATCAAAATAACTTTTACATTTTTTTATGGCATTTTTATGTTGAAGTTCTTTCCAGGTGTTCTAGGATCTATATCAGGTGGTTCTACGCATCAATTCATCAGGTGGTTTCTAAAAGTTACAGGTTCTTTAAAATTACCCTAAAAATTATACAGAAATGTTCGGAAATTAGAAAATGTAACTTTTATTCTTGAATACTTAAATATTTTCAAAAGAGAGTACAACAATACTTTAACTTGATGTTTGACTGAGTAACTTTTTTACTTTTCAGTTTTTTTTACAGAAATGTTCTAATATTAGAAAATGTAATTTTAATTTTTGAACTTTTAAATATCCTCAAAGTCAATACTTCAATACTTTAACTTGATGTTTGACCGAGTAACTTTTTTACTTTTCATCTTTTAGTTGAGTCAGATTTTTTTCTGAGTATTAATACTTTTACTAAAGTACTACTACCGAGTACTTCGTCCACCGCTGCATGTTTGTCAATCTAACCATCAGCATGGAGCCTCAGTGACGCAGAGAAACTATAACTTATTTCAAACAAATACCTCTGAGTGACGGATTTCAGTTCTTCCTCTTTTTGTCTTAAAGCAGATCTGTTGAGATTAGAAGGTAATCTGACTTTAAACTCAGATTATTTCTCAGCCCTCAGACTCTGATCAGAACAATCAGGAGAAGCTCACTGACCTGACTTGATGAAGTTCTTCTTCCAGAGACGTCTTTGTTGTGATCAGCCTGGAAATCATTTGATCAGATTTATTCACAGAATCATTTTCCAATTATAGTTCTGTATCACTTCCCAATAAACCAAACTAAAACATTCCTTTAAATCCAAATCCTATCAAATTCATTCCTAGCTTCATTAAATCAATAGAAATAAACCATTTAGTGTGATCAGTACCTTTGACTGACTGACTTCAGTTCTTCATCTTTCCACCTCAGAGCAGATCTGTGTGTCAAAGTCTCAGATGTTATTTCAGATCAATAATCTCAGCCTCTGAGAGATTATTTCAAACATCGGAAACATTTTAATGACGACTGCATCCCTGATTTCCTGCTCAGACCTTCCCACCAAAAGCTCTCTCTTTCATATCCTCATCTTTAGTGAATCAGGATTAATATTTGGTTTCCTTCTGGATGTGTTCAGATTAAGAATAAGATGTATTAAAAGTATTAATGTTTATTACTCAAGTAGAAGTATAAATCCTACTGTTTAAAAACACTTTTGTAGAGGTTAGAGGATGAATTGTATATAATTGTCTTTAAACTAATTAAAGTATAAAAGTAATGCAGGAAAGAATGTTAAGGACGGAAGCTTTACTGCACTAAACTATTAAAGGAACATTTTTCTACAATTCTGGATGATAAAAGTCTATTTTGAAAATGTAAGGAGTAGAAGTAAAAAGTTTCCTAAAAGTTAATTACTCTAGTAAAGTATAGATAGAAATAAATCTACTTTAGTAAGGTAACAAGGTATTTGTACTTTGTTACTTGATACGTCTGTTAAGAATAATAATGCTGGTGAAAAGCAGAACTGTTTGCTGTTATTTATTAAGACAGAAACCATCTTTATTTAAAGGATCTCTTTCCTCAAAATATAAAAGTTGTCATTGATGTTGGCAGATGCTGCATCACATGCTTGTTTCAACGTGGGATGAAACAATTAATCGTTATAAATTGTTTATTGAAATAATCATTAACTAACCAACATTATAAAAAACTAAATGTTTAGTGTTTAATGTAAAATAACTTTTTCATCTGTCAATATGCTCTATCCAGAACTCCTTAAATGGACATTTTTTGTTTCACCTGGTTTAATTTCATTTAAAAAGTCTTTTTCAAGGAACCTTTGGCTATCCCATTATTAATCGAATCAGTAAAAAAATAATCAACAGATTTGTAAAATAATCGTTAGTTGCAGCCTTACTTTCAATCATTTATTAATCATCAGAAGTATCAAATTTATCTCCACAGTAAAAAGGTACAAAATGTTGGGATGAAAATCTCCTTCAATGCTTCTGATGTCGTCCATCTAAAGCATGATGAGGCTGTCAGAGGTCGGCCGCTCTTCTGTCAGTGGCCGACCTCAGGATACTTTCTGGGATATCAGAACCACATTACTGGTACAGATCATTAATTGTTTTTGGGGACAAAATATAAAAGAGACCTGAACTATAAATCCATTAGATTTTAAACCTGAGCACACAGCTAGAAGGGCTGCACGCTGCCTCACAAGTCAGTCTGTGGGAAAATGTGTCTCTTCTAGGACACTATCTGTCCTGGATTATTAGCAGGGAGTCCAGGAAAATCTAAATAATGCATGAAGCATCTCAACCAATCAGAGTACAGACTGTCCCCGTTATCAGCACCAACCTATCAGAGTAACTTTGTCCTTTATTGCTTTTTTAGAGGCTACCAAGTATTTTTCCATCAGTGCTATTTTCTACTTCTCTGTTTTTTTTTTTGGCAGCTTTTTTCTGTTCTTGTTTTTTGCGTTTATGTGTTTTGCATTGTGATCATTATTGTGTTTGCAACGGGCAGCAGAGTGGAGCAGTTTGTAGCACCGCTGCCCTGCAGCTAAAAGGTCCTGGGTTCATTTCCAGGGTTTTTCTGCATGGAGATGGCAGATTCTCCCTGTGGATTCAAGTTCTACCCCATTCATTTTTGAACTTTTAAATATCCTCAAAGTCAATACTTAAAAACTTTAACTTGATGTTTGACCGAGTAACTTTTTTACTTTTCATCTTTTAGTTGAGTCAGATTTTTTTCTGAGTATTAATACTTTTACTAAAGTACTACTACCGAGTACTTCGTCCACCGCTGCATGTTTGTCAATCTAACCATCAGCATGGAGCCTCAGTGACGCAGAGAAACTATAACTTATTTCAAACAAATACCTCTGAGTGACGGATTTCAGTTCTTCCTCTTTTTGTCTTAAAGCAGATCTGTTGAGATTAGAAGGTAATCTGACTTTAAACTCAGATTATTTCTCAGCCGTCACACTCTGATCAGAACAATCAGGAGAAGCTCACTGACCTGACTTGATGAAGTTCTTCTTCCAGAGACGTCTTTGTTGTGATCAGCCTGGAAATCATTTGATCAGATTTATTCACAGAATCATTTTCCAATTATAGTTCTGTATCACTTCCCAATAAACCAAACTAAAACATTCCTTTAAATCCAAATCCTATCAAATTCATTCCTAGCTTCATTAAATCAATAGAAATAAACCATTTAGTGTGATCAGTACCTTTGACTGACTGACTTCAGTTCTTCATCTTTCCACCTCAGAGCAGATCTGTGTGTCAAAGTCTCAGATGTTATTTCAAATCCATAATCTCAGCCTCTGAGAGATTATTTCAAACATCTGAAACATTTTAATGACGACTGCATCCCTGATTTCCTGCTCAGACCTTCCCAACAAAAGCTCTCTGAGCATCAAACATCATCACAGCGTCTCTTCATCAAACCACATCTAACAAGCTGCAGCAGTTTCAGCAGACATGTAATCCTCAGATTAAATTGGATCTCTATCAGATTATTGTTGAGACCCTGGATGGACCACTTTAAGAGGTTGGGAATATTTCTGGTTACAGGAAACATGCTGGTTAATTAAAAAGATGACTTTAAACCCAAACAACCAGCAGTTACTGAGACCTACATTTTATTCTGGTCTAATCTGTAACATTTATGTTCAGTGTTTTTTTCCTACATCCCAGTGAAAATAAGTCCTTAAAGGAAGCAAATGAGTGAAATGATGTAAAAATATGGAAATCCATCAGAATTTCTCCATCGGTTCCATAAATCAGGAAATCTTACTTTGCTTCTTCCAGTTTCTGCTTCAGTAGGTTCTCAGTTTCTGTGTCTCTGGGAACAACCAGCTGTTGGGCCATTCTGTGATCAGAATCAGACCAGTCACCTTCAGGTTTTCACCAACTAAAAAAGGATTTAATGAATTTTAATTCAATGATAAATGTTTCTATTCTTCAGCACCTGTCTTTGAAGGAAGTCAGTTCTTGTTGCTTTCTGCTCAGAGCGGTTCTGTTGAGGGAAAATGCTTCATATTATTTGGGCTAAAATATTCACTAATCTTAAAGCAGCACTAAGTCATTTTCCAGTAGAGCGCCCCCTACAGGACATGATTAGTGACTCTCAGGCTGCAGCTTTGTTCTGTTAAACTGTTTTAATATTGTTTCAGTATTTTAATCCTTAAAAGGTAAACAGAATAATACGTACTGCGTCTCTATCAGCTTCTTCTTCATGTCTGTAAAACTGGTAGAAAGACAAACAGGGATTAAATATTAGAATAGATTAATAATCCCAATAAAAAGCTGATCAAAGCATTCAGTGAAATCTAACTCGCCTTTGATCATTAAGTCTCTTTGATGTTTGAATCTTACTAATAATCTGTTATTTTATCCTAAAAACTTACCGTTAACATAGAAACATAGAGACTCTTTTAGTCTTTAGGTTCATTTACAGAAATTAACCAAGAATAAATTAAATAATCTATGGAATTTTATTAACATTTAGATAAAATCAAAGTCAGATGAACTAAGCAAACTGTTTGGTGAACTTTTACACTGAGCTTTATAACATTTGGAGCTCAAACATGTTCTGTTAGCTTGTTGTGTGAAAAATACCTTTTATTAACTGATTCCAGTTCATCCTTCTGTTGTTTCAGCTCAGATCTGCAGAGTGAAGAAGAAAATGTATAAAATGTAAACTTTGACTTTAGAGAAGTAATAAATATGATGAATTATTAATGTGACTCTAAAGTTACAGAGTGCTTTGGTTGATTGCATGATGACCTCAACCCAGATCATCTAAATCATGTCAGAGTGACTCTATGAGCACAAAACAGACAAGATCTCTCTGGAAAAAGTCCAACACTAAGATGATCCTGTGAAACCAGGCCTGGATCATTAAAGGACTGTTAGCTATGTCAGCTAACAGCTGCTAATGTGTCTCAAACTGCTAAATAACTGCAAAAAATTTAATGATGAAAATACAGAGACACAAAAATACAGAAAAAATAAACAGTTGTAACAAAAATGCAGCAAAATCTACATCATGGAAGAACAGAAATGAGACAGAAGAAAATAAACAGTGAAATACTGACCTCATGTGATGAAGCTCATTTTCATGAGATTTCTCTGTTTCTCTCAGTCTGTGGTAAAAATACCAGAATAAAATCATTCATGACAGATTTAGGAGTAAAATCCCAGAACTGACAGATAAACAGAAACACTGTTGTGTCCAAGTGGATAATTTAAGGGAATATGGAAGCCCGTTTCTGCCACATGAAAATAAAAAATGCCAAATAGAAAGTCAAAATTATGAGTTTCAAAGTCATAATTATATGAGATATTCAACTTTCAAACTTTCTATCTCATAACTAAGACTTTATATTTGGCCTTTTTTTTATTTTAATGTGGTTTCTTTCCATATTTTACGTAAGAAACAACAAAACAAACAAACAAATATAGTTCGAAACAGCTTCTCAATTTATTTTCGTCTTAGAGAGTTCGCAATAGTCTAAGCAATAGTCTAAGCAATAGTCTAAGCAATAGTTTAAGCAATAGTCACCCTGTTTTGGACCAGCAGCGCCATAACAGCCTTAACAGCCTTAACAGAAATAATGCATATGAACTTATTTCAACATTTTGTTTATTTCTAAACAACTAAAACAGTCTGTTTTCAAAGGGAATGTGGTAAATGTGCAGTTTGAGAAGTAAATGTTTGATTGAGTCTGATTGAGTTTAAAAACCAAAGAACACAAACCTCATCTTCTGCAGCTCATTTTCATAAGAAGTTCTTGTTTCAGCCAGTCTGGGTTCAAATGTAATACATAGATTTTATTGTTAGATTCTAGAGTAAAATCAATAAATATGTAAAATATTTAACTTCTTCCTTCACGTTAATAAAGCCACCAAACTCTGAAAACAGAAATAAAACAAATATGACGTCTAATATGTTAGTCAATCTTTACTGAAACAATATTAGACTCAGATTTTAACCAGTTTCTGAATGACTTTCAGAGCAAAGTAGAAGAACTGATGTGTTTCTGATTGGTCACTTAAAGTTCAACCAAACATTCAGTATTTGTTTCAATCAGTCTGTTTAAAGCCTGATCTGTGAAATGTGATCAGAACATGTGTCCTGCAGTAAAAATAACAACATCTCTTATATTATGAACCTCAGTCAGCCTCCTGCACCATTGTGTGAACTTGTTACCTTAGAAATACATCATATAGAACAGTAATGAGTTCTATCAGAAATACCTTTTAGCAGATGATTTCATTTCTTTTTCTTTTTGTTTGAGATCAGATCTGTAAAGATAGAAAGGAATTGAATTAAAATAACCAGTTATGTTCAAACCAAACATTAATCCACCTTCCAGTCTCCAGTAGCCTTCAGATTGATCCCTTTGCACAACCTGAGCTCCATCTATTCACATCTTCCTCATTAATAAATGTTTAAACTTAGTATACATTACTTCTCGTCCCACTAGATTATTTCTAGGTTAGATTTTACCCTCAAGGTTCAACAATGTACCCATCAGCTACATCTTGAATAGAAAACATGTAGAAAAAAAACAAAGAGATAAACTTACGTGATGCCATGAAGCTCATTTTCATGTGATTTCTCTGTTTCTCTCAGTCTGTGGTAAAAATACCAGAATTAAACTATTTATAACAGATTTAGGAATAAAATCCCAGAATTGATAACTGAACAGAAACACTCAGAATAACAATATTTAAACTGTAATCTGCTCTTTTAGATTATGGGATCAATACCTTTGATTGACTGATTTCAATTCTTCTTCTTTGTTTCTGAGATCAGATCTATAGAGGGGAAAATTAAGATAAATTAATCAAACTGTTTTCAAAGGGAATGTGGTAAATGTGCAGTTTGCTTTGATTACAGAAATGCTGCTGGTGTTTATGTCATGATCTTGGCACTGATGACTGGCTTAATTATTAATTTTATTCACCTGTCCAACTCTGCCTGGTTTCTCATTTCTGCTCATCTGATCCACCTGCTCCTGCCTCTATTTAAGGCGCCTGCATCCAGTTATCAGGACAGATCATCTTGTTCTCTCCAGCCAGTGGTGAGAGTGTTTTTAGCCTGCCTTATTGTTTCTGATTACCAGATCCCGACCGGTTCGACCTCTCAACCACTCAGCCTGCCTGTTACCATCTGATCTGTTTGCCTGACCTGGCTTCTGACTCCTGCATGTTGTCCAGGGGTGCAGCACCTGGGACACTCTGGGCAGCGCCCGGCGCATCTTGTTGGCAGCCCTACGGCTGGATCCTGCCTGCTTCTCTGTCCAGAGAAGAAGGTTAGTGACTCACAGGGATTATCACCCTCTGTCAGATTATCGCGTTCGCTAACCTGTGTTTCCTCTCAGGGTGATAGAAGCCCTAGCGCCTGCAACAACAGATCTGTTTTTGAATGCTTATGAATTATCCCACTGTCTGTCTTGCCTTGAATACTGGGTTGTTACAGTGTAGACTTATTAAGACAGAAACCATATTTCTTTAAAAGATCTTTTGTCATTGAAATATAAAAGTTTTCAATGAAGTTGGCAGATGTTCCTGCCTCTTTCTCTTGCAGTTGAGGAGAAGAGCCTTTAGAATAAAGATCGATCCCAAACATATCTGTGAAGATTCTCAGTCATCCAGGTCCTGGTCAAGCTTGGAAAGTTCAGGTTAGGCAACTAGAGGTGACGTTTTCTAGTAAGCTTGGATGAGAGAAGAAACGTCATCTAGAAAACTTCACCTCCAGTTGCCTAAACTGAACTTTCCAAGCTTGATCCCAAACCTTTCGTTGTCAGAAGATAGAAGATTTTCTGTGTTTTAAGCTTGTGGCCTGGAGCACAGAGAGATCCAGGAAGGGCTGCAGGAGGGTTTATTCTTTGTTTGTTTGCTAGATGAGTTGTTGAGCTGTGTGTCAGTGATTGGTTTCACAGGCAGAGTTGCATCAGTTATGGGATTTTAAAGGCTACCAAGTATTTTTCACCACAGCTATTTTCTGCTGCTCTAATTTTTTTCTCTTTGCAGCATTTTTCGGTTGCATTTATTTTTCTTCTTTATGTGTTCTGGAGTTTTCATCATTCATGTGTTTGCAGTAAGCTGCACAGCAGAGCACTTTGTAGCCATGCAGAGAAAAAGTCCTGAGTTTGATTCCCGGCTCAGGGTCTTTCAGCATGGAGTTAGCATGTTCTCCCTGTGCATCAATGGGTTCTCTCTGGGTACTCTGGCTTCCCCCCACAGTCTAATAACGACTGTTAGGTTAATTGTTGTCTCTAAATTGCCCTTAGGTGTGAATGTTGTATATCTCTGCCCTCCAATAGACTGGTGACCAGTCCAAGTTTGACCCCATCTTTGACCCACAGACTACAGGAGAAAGGCAGCAGCCCCACAGTGACCCTGATGGATCAGTGGAAAAAGATGGATGGATGTTTGAAGCTCTTTGCTGCTTGTGGTCTATTTTTCTGAGACTTTGAACCTTTTGTCTACCAAACAAAGATCCTCCACATGTCAGTAATTATTTAGTGACTGGATCATTGGAAAACTGACTGTAAAAAATACTGACCTGATTTGATGGAGCTCATTTTCTAGAGAAGTCTTTGCTTCAGTCAGTCTGAGTTAAAGATAGAACAGATTATTTCCTTTACAACAGATTCTGCAGGAACATCAGAGGACCTTCAATGGATTGAACCTTTTATATAACAACTAACTAGGAAAACTGTTTGTTGTTGATTCATAACATCAAGAGCTGAGACACGTTCTGTTAGCTTGCTGTGTGAACAATACCTTTTATTAACTGATTCTAGATGTTCTTCCTTTTGTTTAAAGGCAGATCTGCAGCGGAAAGAAGAAAAGAAATGAACCCTGGATCATTGAGGTCCTCCAAGCTCATCATGGTGACGCTGACCAACTTCTACTTTGGTTCAAGATTTCTTACTGATTTGTGCAAATTGGATGAAGGTTAGCCAAGCCACATTAGCTAACAGATGCTAATGAGATCCAAATGGTGAAATGCACTACAAACGCCTTAATGATGCAAATATTAAAACACAAAATAAACTAAAGCAACAACAAATAAAAACTAAATGCTGCAAAAACAGAAAATAGAAGCAAAAGAAAAACTACAAAAATTAGCAGCAAACTGAAAAAGGCTGCAAACTGAAGAGCAACAGACCAAAAGGGAGAGTCAGCATATTTATCTATGATGTTGCTGTAAAACATAATGACCAAGGGTTTAAAAACATAAAGAAAAATGAAGCTGTTTTGTTCCCACCAACTATATTCTTAGCATCCTGTTAACGTCTCACTGAGGATCTGGCTCCATCAGACTCAGCTCTCTGTTCCTCACTGTGGATGAACTTTGCAGCTCTTCTTCACTTTCTCTTGGGATTTTCGTAACATTTTCTCTTGAAACTTTTTTCTGTTCAATCTATTTTTATGTGTTTAGTTTATTTTGTCATTTATATTTATACAGCTTGCTTGTTTTTTTGTGTTCATTTGATCATTTGCTGTGTGTTTGCAGCAGTCAGGCACCAATCAAAGCAACATTTCAGTAATTATTCTGACTGAGTGATAAAATAATCAGCTGTAAAATACTGACCTCTTTTGATGGAGCTCATTTTTATGTGATTTCTCTGTTTCATTCAGCCTGTTGTAAAGATACCAGAATTTTATATATATATATATAATTATAACAGATTTAGATTATAATCCCAGATTAACAACCAAATTTAAACTGTAATCTGTTCTTTCAGGCTGTGGGATCAACACCTTTGATTGACTGACTTCAGTTCTTCTTCTTTGTTTCTGAGATCAAATCTGGGGGGAAAATGAAGCAGAATAAACTAAACTCTATTTTCAGAGGGAGTGTGATAAATGCAAAGGTTCTGCAACTTAGTGAAACGTTTTATCATCCTGATGTAAACATCATGGAAGTTTCTCCAGTCTGGGACCAGATGTTTCAGTTATTGTCTCAAGTAAACAGAGAAAATTACCTCATCTGCTGGAGCTCATTTTCATACGAAGTCTTTATCTCATCCAGTCTGATTGAAATAAAACAGATAAAAAGTTACCTTCAGATTGCAGCTTTAGCATAACCTGATGTGATCCGTATAACATATTGCTGTAAAGTTAATTCCCTTAGTGCAGTTTTTTAAGGTTTCATTATAGGACATTTTCTAACCAATTTTAATAATAAACGGAACATTGAGATTAAGTTCAGTAAAACGGCTGCAGTGGTCTATTAATTAGCCTAGCAGAGGACACCTACTCCTTTATCCATTCAGATTTCCTTGCTCCTCTTAGCTTTAAATTCAAGTCACTCATGTTCTTAGAAAGGCTCTGTTCTAACATCAACAGGTCGATTCTCACTATGAAGCCTGATGACTTTGTGTGACTCTCTTCTTCTGCGAAAGCCATCAATGCTTTATGTTATACCTGACTGGCTGACTCTCTAGCAGTGTTGGGAGTAGTGGCGTTATATTGTCTTTAGTGGCAGCCTAGTGGTTCTGAGTTAAAGCCCCACCCCACGGACTGCCACTCTGGGTCCCTGAGCAAGACCCTTATCTCCACACTGCTCCCCAGGCGCCCCACAATGGCAGCCCACTGCTCCCCAAGGGGATGGGTTAAATGCAGAGTTAATTTTGTTGCTCTGTACTTCTGACAGTGGAATTACAATAAAAGACTGGAAAAAAGAAAGTTACATAATAAGGGCCTAAGTAACTGTGTTAGTTTTTCATTAAAAGAGTCATTGAATAAATTATTTTTTAACATGTTAGTAATGATGTTACATTTCTTGCAATCTGACACAAGGTGTTACTTCAACTCCTTCAGTCAAAGAAACTCCTACTGTGTGCAGCAGGGAGAATGATTCCTGCAGGGTGAGATAGCTGCAGGTGAGGCCGACTGGCTGAGGAGCCTCAGCGTTTGCAGATGTTCAGCCTTAAACAGACTGAAAGCAGAGCCACTGATTCTGCATTACTGAAGAAAACGCTCTGGAGTCAAAGGCTAAACCTTCCTGTGCTTTACTCATTATCAATAAAAACTTTGCTGTCGGTTAGAAGCATTTCTAATGCAAACAATACTTTGTTGGGGAAATAACTAGTTTATTGGTTTTTCAAAGTAATGTTCCCAGCACTGTTTTCTCTGTGTTCCTGTCAGCTGAGTTTATGACATGTATGTAAACAAACACATAAACTTAACTGATATAATGAAGCTCATTTTCATGTGATTTCTCTGTTTCTTAAAAATACCAGAATAAAAACTATCCTACAGATTTAGGAGTAAAATTCCAGAACTCATAAATAAAAAGAGACTCAGAATAGTGATATTTAACTGGAGCTCATGACGTAGATTGACTGAAAGAATTTCTATTCCAGTAGTTCACTCTGATGGCATCCAAAAGCTTCCTGAACAAATGACGGTGCCTCGGTAGCTTATTGCAGTTTAGTTGCGTCTTAAACTTTGTTTTAGCTCCATCAGTTTGAAAAAAAATATAGGATCAAATAATCCTAAATTATGGTTGATAGCCTTACAGATAATTCATGATTTTCCACTGAGGATTGTTACCATAAAGTATTTAATCTGGACACCCGGAATTATAATGTTAGCTATAATGTGCTGCTGTGGTGTAAGCAATACCTCTGATGAAGGGATTTCACTTCCTTGTCTTTTTCCCTGAGAGCAGATCTTAAGAGAAGATATTAAGCACAGAATAAAATATCAAGGTCAGCATAATCCAGATTAATCATGAGGTCATTGATCTTGACTCAATATCCGAATCTGTCAGGATTTGTTTGTGGATTGAGGACCCAAAAGCAGAGGCAGGCAGGAAGAGGTGAATTTATAGTTGATTTAATGAGGAGTTGAGAAAACAGTCTAAAAGTCTAAAACAAACAAAAAACCAAGAGTCCAAAAATTCAAAATTAAAAACATGAAAAAATAAGCAGAAAACAAACCAGAAAACTATGGAGACATCAGGGGAATCAAAACTCAAGGAGGAAGGCTCAGAGAGACAAAGTTGGAGCAAGAGAGACAAAGTTAGACAAGGACCCAGCAAACAAGAACTGAAGAGGGAGAGCATTTAAAGGAGACTGAGACAAAGAGAAGACTAATGAGCAGATTGGGATCAGGTGAGCACAGAGCAGGAGAGGAAAAGAGCTAGGGAAAAAGGAGAACACAAGAGGGCAGCAGAGAGGAACAAATAAAATACCTAGAAAGCTGAAGATAACCAGAAAACACAACAAAATAAGAATCAAACCACTAACAATATAAAACATGGAGCAAAGTAAAACTGAAAAGAAAAACATAACAGAACCAAGACTGAAACAGTAACTAAGAATAAAGCAGAGAACACAGCAAGATAAACATAAAACCACTAAAACTAGAAAACAAGGAGTAAAGTAAAACTGAACACTAAAAAGAAAATATAAAAGAACCAAGACTAGGACAGTAACTGAGAAAAAACAACAAAGAACACAATAAACAAAGAATTAAACCATAAAAACTAGGGTTAGGGTTAGGAAAAACATGACAGAAACAGAAACCTGACAGAATCAAACTGATGTCTTCTTCAAACAGAGGATTCACTAATTACTTCAGTTTATTCAGATCTTCTTCCAGAGCTGCTTTTGATGCAGTTAGCCTGTTAAATAACAACATTCTATATTAACATTCCATATTAATCTAACCAGGAAAGTATTTTCTCAGATTAGAGATTCATTTATAGTCATTTTATTCATGATCAATGGTTTTATCCCTATTAACACCATTCTAATGAAGTGATTTCTTTCATACCTCTGATTGGCTGATTCCAGGTCGTCTTTCTCTCTGAGAGTAGATCTGAAGAGGAAAATGAAAACTAATCATAAATCTCTAAGTATTGAGATTGAAAGTGAGAAATAACTGTTTCTCACTTTTAGGTGAATCCATTTGGTTTCATTATAAAGCTTTAATATCAGATAGAGCCAGTTTGTTTCATTTTCTTATTCTCATTGATTATAAACCAGAGTCTTTATCTTCCACAACCTGTAACCATTAAAATGATCTTCAGACTGATGCTCCATGAAAATCAGACTGAAAAATACTCACCTTACATGATGAATTTCATTGGCGTGGAAAACATTGGCAGCATCCGCTCTGTTAAAAGCAGATTATGCAGTAAGAAACTAAAATCTTCTGGGTTTTATGGTGGAATGTGAAGGATACCTTTGTCTGAGTGAGGTCAGCTCTATGTCCTTCTCTGTTATCACTGAACTGGAGGGTTGGAATAAAGGAAGAGACAGAAAAATGGGACCTTTATCTTATAAAACCATGTTTTTTACCTTTAAGTAAATTTTAATCAGCAGTAGTTCACATTGGATAAACTGCACTGCTTGTATCTGTACAGTCTGATAATTAAAGTTCAATTCTTGTGCTTCATTAATGAACATACTTACACTGCCTGCTTAAGATCCTTTTCATGAGACTTCAATCTATTAAAAATAAAATTATAAAACCTTTAACATTTCGAACATCAACACATCAGGAATAAAAACACTTTCTGATCATTTTCCTTTTATAATACAACCAACAGGACCTGCTAGCTGCTGCTGAGCTCAGAGCATTGATCTGATGAGAAACTTGTTTAAACTTCACCTTTCTTTAAGGATGTTCACTTCTTCCTCTTTTTTTATTAAATCACATCTGCAGCACAACAAAGGAAATGTTGTTTTATGTATTTTCTTTGATTTAAAAATAAGAGTTGGATCCATTTCCCATACATACCTCATCTGATAGAATTCATTTCCGTATGAAATCTTGGGTTCAGCCTTTCTGTGAATCAAAATACTTTGAATTAGAACCATTTGGATCCGACTCAAACATCTGCGTACGTTTAACCCAGGTTCTCTGGGTGGATTAAAAGGTCTCCACTCTACAGATTTAATACGTTCGAGTTCTGAACCCATCATGAATCTGATGGAACTAATCTTTAAAACTAGACTTTAACTGTGGAGGAAAGAGTCGCTTCTATTTCTCCTGTCAGTGTTTGTTTCAGTGGTGCCTTAAAAAGCTACATGATGCGTTCCCATAACGCCTTCCTGATTTTACCGACATTAATCACCTTTAAAACCTGGTTCATTATAAAGCGTTGAGAAATAAATAAAAATGTCCTTTGTCGGTTCTCCATCTGTTTGTACCAAAATATCTATGTTTTTTTTCTGAAAGACAAATTTGAAGTTTTTCATGAAAATGAGCAGAACTGCTGGAATCTTTCTAAAGTTATTTTTCTATTTAAGGACAAACTACAGAAAATGTATTTTAGAATACAGACCTTTAAACAGTTTGTTATAAAATTGAGCAAACTAAACACTTTGCTGTCAGATCACTGATATCGTCTCTTATTCTCCACATCAGCAGGAAAACCTGGATAGAAAACTCAGATCAGAATAGATTTAATCTTAAATCAGGCTAAATTCTGGCTGCTGGGAATAAAACCATCAGCTTATTTCTTCTTTCTAGAAAGAGCTGAATAGAAAATCTTAAAGTTATTTTACCATAGCATCTTTATCTGTAAAGCACTTTAAAATGAACCAGGGTTCACACAGAGATACATATAGCAGATCAAAGGAGACAGGTTTAAAAAAGAACATTAAAATACATCCTAAGGCAAATTGAAATGAGTCTCATTCACAAATGAAAGAAGGAATGAAAGACATTAGTAAAGTAAATTGGTTGAAAAGACGACATGATTTATGTCCAAACAACGTCTACATTTGGTTAAAAAGTGAAAAGCTAAAGCCTTAATTTTCAGAACAGTCCAAATGTGATCAGATTGACTGACATTAAAAGACGGATCGGTTTAAACACCAACCTGGCCTGATGGAGTTTATCCTGGGTCTCAGTCAGGCTGGATTAGAAAGAAAACGGATTAAAAAGCCTTTAAAGGGAATATTCTGGAGAAAAAAAAAACTTGCAAAAACAGAACCAGAAATCTGTTATTCATCATTAAGACTTTTTTGGAAACATAATTAGTCTGTCAGCTTGTTGAGTGAACGGCACCGTTTAGTGACTGAGGTCAGTTCTTTGTCCTTCTGCTGTAGAAATGATCTGGAAACAGAACAGGAGTTGAAACTCAGAAACTGTTGGATCCTCACATTAAAAATGGTTTAAAATTATTCCAGACAAACTTTAGACTTTTATTCTCCTCCTCATTAAAACATTGTCTGATCAGTTAATTGAAGTCAGGCCCCCCTTTGTAGCTAAAACAGCTTCAGCTCTTCTAGGAAGGCTGTCCACATGTTTAGGAGTGTTTATGGGAATGTTTGACCATTCTTCTAGAAATGCATTTCCCAAAGGTCGGGGGTTGAGGTCAGGACTCTAAGCTAGTCAGGTTCATCCTCACCAGACATCCATGTCTTTATGGACCTAGCTTTGTGTTCTGGTTCACAGTCATGCTGGAAGAGGAAGAGTCCAGATCCAAACTGTTTCCTTAAAGTTGGGAGCTTGGAATTGTCCAAAATGTCTTTAAACATCCCAAGGAGCGCTGTGCAAACCATGATACTGAAATGGAAGGAGTATCAGACCTAGGGCTGCAACAACGAATCGATAAAATCGATAAAAATCGACTTTTAAAAGCGTTGGCAACGAATTTCATCATCGATTAGTTGTGTCGCGCGATTAATGCGTCATCCGCCGCCGTCGTCATCACATCCACTTGACTGAAACGGGGGAAGAAAAAAAACATACGGCAGCGCTGCAGGTGCAGTGTTGCCAACTCAGCGACTTTGTCGCTATATTTAGCGACTTTTCAGACCCCTCCAGCGACTATTTTTCAAAAAAGCGACTAGCGACAAATCTGGCGACTTTTTACGGTGTCACTGTCGGCTTTTGGAGACTCTTACGTGAAAGCATGTATCGTTCCTCCAGCGGCAGCTGCTGCCGTGGGGCGCCTCCCCCATCCCAACCCCGTCCAGACTGCAACTGAGGCGCAAATTGATCACAGTAATTAAAATAGCCTGCGCTTTGTAAAGTGAAAAAAAGTCGTAACATGCAACTTTTGTAAAAACAAATGAACATGGCGCGGAAGCACCACTGTTATGACGCAGCACCTGAAAAGAAAACACGCTGGAGCCTTCGATGGCAGTGAAGAGAGCTGATCAGCAGGGTGAGCGGCCATGTTTGTTTGGTTTTAAAGTGGGGAAACGTAACGTTAGTTTCTCAGGTCGCTCATCTGATGCTTTCCTTACCGTGTTAGTAGGTTACAGACAGGGATAAGGTTGGCTACTTATTTTACTTTTAATTTCATTTGAATTAGCTTAAGCAGCGTTTATATTTTCTTTATAAATAAACTTGTAAATTATGAGGGCAAGGCTTTTAAAGTTTAAATCTTCTGGCAAAGATAAAGTAAAGAAGATCCTGCAATTTATGGAAGTAAAGCAGAATAAAATCCAGCAAGATCAGTAATATGTCAATTAATTATCTGCCACATTCCCATGTAAATATCTGTCTTTGGAGGATGTGTTTTTTAGCACCCCTAGTTCTCTCATTTTTATTCCAAATACAATTTATAATTTGAATCACAGGCTATTTTTATCTCTATGGTTCAGTATTTTCTCAAGTAGCAACTTTAACTGCTATACTTTCCTGTCTTAAAAGGCAGAACTCTTCTAGTCTAAAAAACCTCATTTGTTGAAATGGGGGGGCCTATTGTTTGAACCCCTTAGGGGCTTTTAAAAACAAAAATGTTTTTTTTTTTTGCGCTTTATGAAACAAAGTAGCCTATATTTTGTGGATGTACAGCTACATTTCTCATGTAAGTTTGCGTAGTTTTAACACAAACATTTATTTTTCATATAGCACCAGTACAGTTAATGAGCAACCTGTACCTGTGTGCTTGTTTGTTCTGTCTAAAATGTTTATTTTGGAATAAAGAGGTTAATATAAAAAATATTTTTTGTCCGATTCATTGATTAATCTAAAAAAAATAATGGGCCGATTCATCGATTTTTGAAATAATCGTTAGTTGCAGCCCTAATCAGACCACTGCAGATCTACTAAGACCCGGCCGTCCCTCTAACAAGGAGAAGACTGATCAGAGATGCAGCCAAGAGGCTCACGATCCTCTGGATGAACTGCAGAGATCTACAGCTGAGGTGGGAGAATCTGTCCATACAGCAGCAATCAGTCATATACTGCACACATCTGGCCTTTATGGAAGAAAGCCGTTTCTAAAAGAGATCCATAAATAATAAAGTTTAAGTGTCTCAATGTTCTAAATTGATAGAGACAAACCCCAAGTGACCTGCAGCTGTAATCACCGTAAAAGGTGGCGCTACAAAGTATTGACTCAAGGGGGCTAAATGATTTTGTACATAAAATTTCTCAGTTGCTCCGTTCAAAATCCTAGGACGCGTCCTTAGAAGGCCAGATTCGAAGGACGATTACGTCATAATGCGGCGCCGAGGCCTGGTCGGATTCCAAGAGTCCTCGTTATGCGGCCTTAAAATGCGTCCTTCTTTTTGCCCGATTTGAAGGATGGGTCCGATGTATCCTCGGTATCCTTGGTTTACCCAGGATTCATTGCGAGACCAAGCAAGCCACGATCAGAGGAAAGGTTACCTCCCGCCGAACAGTGGTGAAAATTGGAAGTTTCTGTTTAAACACCAACCTGGCCAGTTTCTTCATGGCTGAGTTGCTTCCGTTTCCAAACAGTTTCCATTTTCTGATGTTACAGCTGACTGTGGAATATTTAGCACTGAGGAAATTTCCCGTCTGGATTTGTTGCACTTGTGGCCTCCTATCAAAGCTCCATGCTGGAATCCACTGAATTCCTGAGTGTGATGCATTCTCTCACTAATGATTTTATACACCTGTGGCCATGAAGCGATGGAACACCTGATTCCAGTCATTTGGATCGGTGAGCAGATACTTTTGGTGATATGGTGTACGAACAAAAAAACTGAGCTCAGGTCCTCTAGCAGAGCCCTGGGAGTTTGAGGGTTCCTCTGAGTATCATAGCTGTTCATAGAGCTGCTCATTTCTGGACTGAGGTCTCTGATGTTTGTCCAGGTATCTGTTGAAGCCATTTCTCTGGTATGGGGGTTTCTGCCCCCACATAAACATCTCTGAGTGCTACGCTAACAGACAGGACACAATGAGAAATAAAAAAGAAACAGGTCTGTTTAAACACCAACCTGGCCTGGTGGAGTTCATCCTGTGTCTCCGTCAGGCTGGTTTAAAAAGACAACAGATTAAAAACACTTTAAAGCAAATTACCTTTAATAGTTTCTGTGTCAACAGAACCAGAAATCTGTTATTCATCTTTAAAACAAAAAGCTTTGAAGCATAATTAGTCTGTCAGCTTGTTGAGTGAACGGTACCGTTTAGTGACTGAGGTCAGTTCTTTGTCCTTCTGCTGTAGAGATGATCTGGAAACAGAACAGGAGTTGAAACTCAGAAACTGTTGGATCCTCACATTAAAAAGGTTTGCATCTATTCCTGTATAACATTTTATAGTTTAATGACATTTTTAGATGATTTCATATAAAGAATCAGTTCCAGAGAAACACTGACCGGGCCTTGTTGAGTTCATCTTGGGTTTCATTTAGGCTGGAATAAAAACAGATCTGATTGAAATCCTTCACAACACAGATTGTGCCATAAATACCTTAAATGTCTTTCATAGTCTCTATGTGACCAATATATGAGCTTTAGGATAAAATAAGACATTCTTTGACCTGACATGTGGTCTGTCAGCTGGTTGTGTGAACAGTACCGTTTAGTGACAGAGATCAGCTCCTCTTTCTGCTCTACTACCGCCCTGCAGAATAAAGAAAAAACATCCTTAGTTGTTTCTCAGTAAAGCTTGGAGTTTAAATTTGAGAAAATAATGTTTATATTTTTGAAAATTATACATAGAATGAGATTGAAAAAAAACCCAGTTCAATACCCTTAACAGAGTCTGCAGTGAAATGACTGAATGTCTAAAGAAAACACTGAAGTAAAACTTATTGGACAGCTCAGCTAATTGACCAATCAGGCTCTAAATCTGGGTGCAGCGATGGACTCAGACCTGAACCTCCAGAGGCTCAGAGAAACAGGAACAAAGACGACCTTCTATCATCTAAAGAACGTCACTCAGGTCAACCGGATCAGAACCAGAACCAAACATGGAGCAGCAGCTTTTAGTTCTTCAGCTCCACTGATCATAAACTGGAGGAAAACTGTAAAAACATGAAACCCTGTAGAGCTTTAAACCCAGATTAAAAACTAATTAGTTTAGCCTTTGACTGTGCTAGCTAAACATAGTTTAAGTTCAACTCTATTTCATTTTATTATTCATTTGTTTTCTCTTGAATTATTTATTATCATAAATATTTCATTACCTCTATGCAACTTTAATTTCCTTTGTTTTCCTGTGATGTTTTTATCTGTTCAGCACTTTATCAGTTTTCTTCTATTGAAATATGCTATAAAATATTCTTGCCTTTCTATATGTTAAATATCAGCTTGTTTTATAAACATTAACTCAACCAACTGATTCTAAATTATTTTTTCTGTTCTAGATCATTTCTGGAGAATCTGAGAAAAATAATCTAACTGGATCAAATTATCATAAAAAATTTTAAACTGTAAATCTGAAGTTTTCAAAGTTTGGTTTCATGTCTAACTTTTCTATTTTATTTCTCTAATGAGGTTATTTATTGATCAGCAGGTTTAGCAGGTCATAGAAAGATGGATCCAGTCAAACACTGACCTGGTCTGACGAAGTTCATCCGCTCGTTCATTGAGGCTGATTCAGAAAATAAAGCAGCATTAAAAAAGAAAATCAGAAATAAAACATTTTATTCAGTAAAGTTAGAAAATGTTTCAGTTGTTGAACTTTTATCATCCCTTCAGGTTTGGTTTCTTATTCAAACAGATAAAAGCTGCTCCACGTTCCACCAGGAGGCAAAGTCACAGAAAGGATAATTCCTCATTAATCTGGGACTTTGTGTTTTCAGATATTTATGACAATAAAATCACAAATGTTTCAATGTTTTTCATTTTTAGGTACAGCACCTTTGATGGACTGATGGATCCTCCTCTGGTTCTCCTCCTGAACAGCTGTAGTGGAAAAGATGAAGACCATGAGACCATTTCTAAGAACTCAAATATAATCTGAGAAGAAAATGACATATTTCATCCACAGTCCTCTGTTTCCTCTCCAATCATAGGATTATAATCTATTTTACTGATTAATTAAAGCTCTGGGGCACCATGTTTAATGTGGAGTTTGTCCTTTATCTGCACTAAAGTTTAATGGATCCTCTCTGTCGCTACATTCAGGCTCAGTAGGAGAAATTGCTGCAAATTCAACAACAAGCAACCGTCTGCTGCTGCTGGAAGAATAATGGAGCTGTGGACTGTCTGCAGCCACTGACGCCTAAAGACAGACAATCTTAGCCGACTAGCAGATCCAGACACACTATCAGCACACAGAGCTGGTGGCTGAGGGAGCAATGAAGTGGGATTAAGCTTTGAATCTCAGGATAGATGGAATGCTTTTTAATCCAGAATGGCTTCAAATCAGTCAAACATCTGCACCTTTTTGCTTTTCTTCCATAACTGTGACGTGTGGCAGGAAGTTTACCAAGCTACCATATTCTGATGCATAGTATCACATGGTTAGTATGTCCACCATATTGGTGCAGCTGCAGACCATGATTAAAGATCTGATGCCCTCCCAGTGCTGCAGGGACAGACTCCAGTTCTCCGTTTGTCTGAACCAGTTTGACCAGTTTCAGAGAAATGGAGCCTCAGCGTTCAAATCCATGTTTAACTTTAGCTCCATGTGACCAGCAGAGGTCGCTGTTGTTCAAATGGATCAACCTTGTAGTTCTGATGTTCTGCTGATCAGGTTTTAATGTCTCATTCTAAAATCCAGATTTATCTAAAACTCTTTAAACATTTATGAACATGGAGAAAAATAAAAAAGACAGAGTCCTCCCTCTGAGTTTGTAAACCAACTGAACAAAACATGATTTTACTGAAATCATTTGTTCAAATGGTGCTGCATTGATTTACAGTGAACATTTGAACCCTTAACCTGACACTGGCGTGTTATAGAGTCCCACACTCAGAGGACGCCGTGGTGATTCTCACACTGAGAATCACACAGGACTGATTTAGATTTGTTAAACTGTTAAACTTCTATCCAACAGCTATAAATCACTAAAACTTTCATCCATTAATTAAAACTAATAATCTAGTGGACGATGGTGTCCCTTACCAGGCCCCCATAGTGATATTTCTGGTTGGAACCATCCGGCTGCATCGGCATGTAGGAAACACAGCGTACTCTGATTACTGTTCACTATCTCTTCACTTTTTGCCACCAGGACTAACCTGACTAGTTTCAGGAATGTGTGACTGATTCATGGCAGAGGCAGGCTTTGGCACCGTACCAGGAAGACGAGAACCAGAGAGATCTGAAACAAGGCAACAGATCCAGCTATAGATCAGAGCTTGAAATCATCCAGTCATTAATAAAACTCAAACTTCTCAGTGTTACAAAAAAGTTCTAAAACATATGAAGGTTATAAAGCAATGAATGAAAGAGATCTTCTACATGAGATGAATATTTGTTGCTATGCATCATCTGTTCAGCTCTAATTGGCAGAGGGAGTTGTTTGCATCGGCCATTTGTCATTTTTCCAACGATCACAAGATGTCCCTCTTTCTTCATTTAAACAAGTCATCAAATCTACAGTTTATTACTCATCGGAGGCCATTTTGTATTCAGTGAGAAACTGATCATTGATACAAGCAGAAAGGCCTGGTTGGGATCCAAACCAACAACCTTAATGCCCCCCCACCCCCAGCTGAGATCATTTTCAGTTAAAGATGGAACCATCAACATCACTCCTCCTCTATATCAGCTGATCTATTTCCTGATTAGCTGATGCATCAAGCAGAGAGGAAGTCTGATCACTGAGAGTAGCAGCATTTAGGAATCATTTATTATTGTTCATTTCAACATTATTCTGCACTAAAGAACAAAAACCTTGAAGTTCATCTTCCAGATGGAGCCACAGCTCCTTGTTGCTAAATGCTGCTGTGGATTCTCAGTCATCAGGACGTTAAAATCCTGAGATCAGAAGAAAGCAGCTGGACTTCTACTCTGCTGTTTTCTACGTTCTCAGGATTCCAGCAGCTGCTCTGGTGGAGAATCACTGAATATTATCAGCTGTAATGATCATGTAGCTTTGAAACTGGATAATGATGGCGACCAAACTGACCCCAGATCTGGATCATTCATCTTTTCCTCTAAACATTCAGAATCTAAACTCTTTCTGACACTAAATTATTCACGATGCTAGCTCGGTTCCTCTGGAGGCCTGGAAGGTTCTGGATCGATGTTCTTAGAAGGTTTCTTGGCTGGAACAGAAAAGTTAGTTCTGGTTCCTGGAGCCGCTCTCTCAGTGTGGGGGACACGGCCCCTGGGGGTCCAACCCTCCTTCTGTCCTCTTTAAACCTGCTAAGAGTCATTTTTGGTTTGAAATTTTAGCTCCTTTAAAACTCGACTATTATATTATTTTATAAAATAAGATATAAGCCTGTAGTTTATTTCGTGTATTCATCTTATTCTAAATAAATCTCTAAATCTAATGATCTCAGCAGATATTTCCTGCAGGGCCGAAGGTAACTGGGCCTCCAGCCAAGGATTATTTCCTGGTGGAGTTGGACCTGTTCTATGAGCTTCATGTTTGATGTCTGACAGCCAATCAGCTGCAGCTGCTCCACTCAACTAAAAGACTCGCTGCAGTTGGACCGACAGCCACAACTCCAACGGCAGCATTACAGGTAGAAATGGGAGAACTGCCATTTGAGTGGAGAAGAATTCAGTTATCTCTGACCTATTGGGCTAATTTACAGCGTCATAGTGAAGATCATTCTGCACAAAGCACTTTAACATCTTGTTGGGAAATGGAGAAGAGGGAGAAAAAAAGCTTTGAGTGGACAGTTAAACAGAAAGCAATGGAGTTAGAATGAACTGATTTAAAGTTCAGTCCAACAGAACCACTGCCAGCAATATCACCTGGGATTCTACCTGAAGCTAAAGTAGATCTGACACTATTAGAAAAGAAAAACAAGGTCAGGGGGTTTATTTTGAATTCAAATACAATACAGGAATATATTAATAGTTACTATAGTTTCATTCAGATCTATACAGATGCAAAAAGTTTAGTTAATAAGATAGGAGTATCTTTTATTGTTCCAGAGTTGCATATAACAGTAGGAAAGAGGACCAGTGATAATATCTCAGTATACACAGGAGAAATGCTAGCAATTCTGTTTGCAGTGCAATGGGTAGAGGAAATAGAGGGATTATTTGTTCACATTCATCTTCTTCAATAATTAGTTTACAGAGAAGTCACTCAGATAGCAGAGCAGATATTTTGATAGAAATCCAGCAAACATTATTTAGAATTCAAATAATGGGCTTTACAGTCATATTTTTATGGGTACCAGCACATATGGGAGTTAAAGGAAATGAAATGGCAGATAAGGCTGCAAAGGAAGCTACAAGAAAAGATATGGATGTGTCAGTTATTAAAGAGAAGATGAAGGAAAGGTGGCAAAAGCAATGAGAGGAAGTGAGGAAAGGACGATGGTTTTACATGATTCAGAGGAGAGCGGGAGAAATGAGATGTGCAGGAAGGAACAGAAGAGAAGAAACGATTATATCAAGACTTAGATTTGGGCACACAGGATTAAATAGTACTTTATTCAAAATAGGTAAAGATAACAATGGATGTGAATACTGTGGGCAACAAGAGAGAGTTGAACACGTTATGGTACACTGTATGAAGTATGAAAGAGAAAGGAAAATGGTTCAAAATCTAAAAATGGAGAGAATACAATTTGATTTAATAGAAATGCTTAGAAAAAACTCAAGAGATAAGTGTTATGTAATTGTTTTTCATTGTCTCAGATTAATAAATGTAATTGAGAGGATCTGAATCTTATTTTGGTTTTGTTGATCTTGTTTTGTTAATTTGATTGTGACTTGTTTGTTTAGTATAAATTAGTAGCCATTCTGATCCACACTCCATACCAGTTGGTGGCAGTAATGCACCATTTCGCTGCGTGCCAACCGTCAAAAAATTCCATAAAGAAGAAGAAGATTGACAGCCACAGAGAAGAGGCCACTGAAATCCCTCAGAAATCACTTTTATAAGGTAAGAGAAATGGATACGTTTAGAGTTCATTAAAGGTGCAGTAGGAGATCTTTCCTGGTGCATTTTACCTTGTGGCTTTAAGATCTCCCCACAGTCCCTTAGCAAGCAGTGAAATAGAAGGTCTGGAAGTGAACTAAAATAAATGGTCCCCGCTACAGTGAGAAATATATGAAAAACGTCCTCCAATCACAAAACACGGTCTGTTGTCCACTATTGGTTCCTGACATGTCAATCATGGTCGTCTGCTTGTCCCTCCCCAGTGTGCGTACCCTGACACACGAACGCATCGACCCCCCAATGCTCATGCAGGACGCCATGGCTGGAAGCTAGCCACTGTTTTGCTACGTTCACAACTAAAACGTGCGTGCTGCTTCATTTTTTATGCTGTACCAGTTTAGTTCTGACGCGCGGCTGAAGCATCTCTGCTGCTCCAGCTGCACGGTGGTAAAGTGGGTCTGGTGCGCGGTGGGCGGGGCTACCCAATCCTTTCTCTGCCTGGAACAATGGCAGCTATATTAGCTGTGATCAGCGGGTAGAAAGTAGTTAGAATCTATGTTGAAGTGAGAAAGT